TCCGAGAATACATCATGAAATTTAGCAATAAGGGGGACTACTGCTTCCGTATTAACTCATCGGTTCCATGTTCCTTTCCAATCAACACATAGACCACCCCCGAATCTTATAACTCTTCAAACCGAGCTAATGACACTAGCTTGCTAATATCACCTACGAGTTTAGAAATAACCGGAACCTTACTAGGCACACAACATAATCTTTACACTATTAAACATGAAGCCATATGTATTGGCTCATCCCTCATGAACTACACTCCTATCATATTGTCATAGCCTACCTCACAATAAATAACGTGCATCTATCGCAACCATATCACACCCCATATCATCCTTATACTTAGAGCCAATAGAAAAAGAAACTAAAGCTCATTAAGAAATAGTTGCCTTTTCATTTTTTTTAAGCCAAACCAATTTACAAGGCTTAGGGTGCTTCTCTATCTTAAGACCTAATTCCGTATCGCATCATAAGAAATAATATTCTCATAACTACTAACTTCAATGAAAAACCAATAGATCTTACCTCGAATTGTGTAGGTAAAGTGGAAAATATTACTCCGCGACCAATCATCATTAGTTACTTTAGGAGCCAAGCAGGACCTCTTAACAACCAGAGTGTTGTTCCCTTATTGCCATCATAACCTCTTCTTTTAGGACACCTCTATCATCATAGACCGAATCACCATTCAATTTTACCTCATCCGCATCGAATCCTTAGCATCGTTAAGAAATGCTCTTTTTCCTACCTTTCGACACTCCGTCTATCTATGGCCAATCTTACCACATGCATAACACTTTATATTGTTACTAGGTTGCCCAAGTAACTATGGAGTTCCTGCTACCTTTGCCTCCCGTATGAACTACCTATTACTAATAATTGTGCCGCTATTGCTTCCTGTACTAAAAAGGTTAATAAAGCTACTCCAATGTAACTACTTCTCAACCTATAGTGTTTTTTAAGAGGAAGCGAGAAAGACACACGAGGTCAAACATATTAACGGAGACCTGTGGTTGCGGACCACCAATATATTTCACCACTAACCGATCCTTCATCTCCCGTAATTCATTTTGGGCTAGCAACTAGTAGAACTCGGTGGTATAATTATCTATTGATCGAGCCCTTTATCTTAGTTCATACAACCATTGGTATATCATCCTCTAGAAGTTATAGGGTAAGAAGGTAGTACGCATATGCTTTTTTATTTTTTCCTAAGAATTAATCTTAGGTTTACCCATCTTATTTCTAATTAGTTTTAGCTACTCCTACAAGCATGTTGCTCTCTTTCTAAATTTGATGACTACTAAAGACACACGTTTATCCTCGGGAACCTTATTAAACTCTAGAATTTCCTCCACTCGTCGATAACCGATCCAAGAACTCATTTGCTTAGAGGGTACCATAAAATTCGAGAATCTCAATCCACGTAATCGTTTCCTATCTCCTACTATCATAATCTCTAATAGAGATCCTTTGTTGTTTGTGTGGAACATCTTCTTCATCCTCCTCCTCATCCATTCTAGTATTTGGTGCCTTCTAGTTACAATGGTAGGCTTAGTTCCGATGGCTCATGTCTATATTTATCATCGAGCACACCTATCTACTCGCGTCAATACCCCCATCTACTATGTTAACTGCTATAATGATTGCTTTATCTTTTCATTAATCTACGCAATTCACTACTCTAAACACATCACATCGGTACATTCATAGATCTCATCCATATCTCGCAGTTATTCTCTCCTTAATGGCATGGTCGGATCAACGACAACTAGGCTCGATAACAAATGAGGTAGCGGATGCTTACTAGAAAGAAAATAAATACCATTTATTTGAAATCTAGATGTCGGTCTACTATAACATATTGAATTGAATGCAAATACTAGAAAATAGACTTCAAATTTCGTTCCTTCAAGGAATGTTGAAAATTGAGTTCAACTTGAGATACTCTCTTATAAACTTTTATTAATCAAAGTAAGTGATGTTTTTCATTCTCCAAGTCATACATTAGTAGGAAAGTTCAGCCACAAACCCGAAGCAATTCGGAAAGAAAATAAATACAAAAAAACCCAAAATAAGGAAAAAAATCTCAAAAAGCAATAAAAGTCAATTTTGAGGGCCGTGTCTTTTGGCCAAAATCACCCTTACATCATAGGCTTAGCCCATGAGTTTTTCTTGTTGGCCCATTTGGCATCAAATTATGCCAAAAAAACTTTAGAATTGGTCCATAGTTTTCTTAGCTTCTGTCGCACTCATACCGTTTCATGAATTCCATGACCCGTTAGTCCGCATGACGACTCTTCTTCAACTCGAGGAGTGTAGTGTAAGAGTATCCCCTTCTCAACTTAGTCAAAAGTTTCCCTCTCTATTATGGTCAAAATTTTCAGCCCTCTATCCTATGTATGTTGTTGTTCTTTTATTTTATTTGAGTTGGATATTACTTATTTGGGTTATTTTTATTTGTGTGGACTCGGGGCTAATTAATTAGTTCTCATGGTTTTTTATTTCCTATTTGTTTTAGGACTTGGTTGAATGTGTGGTCTAGGTGAGTGGTTGGATCCTTGTGTGTTATTGATCCTTTTTTATTTAGAAGTCCTTATTCATTTATTTATGAGTCCATATGATACATATATCCATATTTAATTAGGCCAAATTAATTAAGTCATAATTGAATATGGATTGTATAAGTCCAAATCTAATTTAAGAATGGAGTCAAATCCAGCCTAGGGGAGGACATTGAACCCTAGTTCACTTTGTGCTTCTTTTTTAGTAGATTTTATAAACTTTTGAATGAAAAATTAGAGAATTTTCTCTACAACTTCTTTGTATATTTTCTTTACTTGGATTGGCTCGACATTGTGAAACACATCCTTAGAGTGATTGACTAAAATGGGCTTAGATCAACAATTACTTTAGGTGGACTCTTGGTAAACGTATCTCATATGTACTCTCTAAATAATCTTAGGTGGTGGACTCTTCTCAAGAGTGAGGCATTGGGCTTGCACTTTTATTTATTTAATTGTTAAATTGAAGTTTAACTTGAATTTCAAGACTGAACAATTTAGGTCTCAAAGCTAATAACCAAGGATAAAATTTTTGTTTACTCCAAAACTTTGATAGTCTATTACTACAGAGTTGATTTAGCTCATATAAAGAATTTAAAAAATAATAAAAATATTTGATTGGATTTTTGGATCATTGAATTAGTTGCAAATTCTAGAACCTATTCTACCTAGAATTTCGACTTGTTAAAATGAGGGGGTTATATGGCTTGGAATGAACTGAATTGATACTTCTAGGCATTGTCTATGTCGTGGTAAAATTTTAGCTTATTCTAAGTTGAATTTATTGGGTAATGTATTACCTCTAGTTGTGGATTATGTGATTGTTGTTTGGAGATTTTTGGTTATTGCTTGTGTTTATGGGTTTGTTTAATTGTGTATCAGCTTGTGATTGTGGATTGATCGAGGATTGTTTGGGGTGAATTTGGGGTTGATTTATTGCTAGAGTGTTTCGCCTAAGGCTATTTATTTGATGTTTGTGTATTTGAGATTTTGCAGGATTTGACATCTCTTAATCCAACATCATTTGTTACTGTAGAGACATTTGTATTTAATTTATACATTGTTGTATTTGGGACCATTTGAGCCAAACCGGCTTTTAGAACAAATAGTTATGCTTTTATGGATATTTTAGTTTAGATTGTCTATTTTGTTTGTATTCTGAACTCATCTTTTAAACACTTTCACCTTGGATAAAAGTATTATTAAAATAACCTGTTCACTTCACCTTGGATTCCAATGTGTTGCACATTCACCAAAATTTCTAAATAGAAATAAAATTAAAATCACATAAAAGAAAAGAATGATGCAGAAAGAATAAATTACTGTGGAGAAGAACTACTGACAGGGGAAACTTTGATGAGAAAAAAGAGAGAGAGGCAAAGAAACCTAAAGAGTTTCTCTATAAGAACTTCAAAAAGCTCTCTCTGTACAAGTCCTTTTCTTCTAATTAACTATTCGGAGGGTAAGTACTCATGGTATCAATGCTGGTGAATCAAAGTGGACCTCTCTTCACTTTTTGATACCATCATCTGCATGCAGGAAGCTGTTCTTCTTTGCAAATGCAAATGTAATTTCTTGCATATTTGTCAAGTGATAGCAAGCTAAACTCAAGTCCTTTTATTAATTCAAGACTCAAAAAGAACCCACATTGTAGGATATGCATGCTTCTCTCATTTTCCTGATAAATTATCGCACAATAATATTTCTGTCTCAGCTCATTGTTTTTAGGCCTTCTTTTTCTGGTTTCAAAAGATCACTCATCACTCTCTTTATCATTTGAATTTGAAAAGAAAACGTATTCTATAACAATATTGAATTAATAACATTGTTAATTATTTCATTATATGCATGTTATTGTGCGATAATCCGGTTAAAGACCTGCTGTTTTTCGTTTTTAAGGCAAAAAAAAATTTGTTATTGAATTATGAATGATCAGTTTGAGGCCTAATCAAAGTGATGGCTTAACTAGTTTAATCCAGACCAATGCGTATTTTATTACATGGATTTTAAGTTCATGCTAGAGATAAGTAGGAGAACATATGCTTGCTTTTTTCATAGTTCTGGGAATTTTCCCACTTTTTTCTTTATTCTCTTATATGCTAATATCAACTCCTTTAGCCATGGTGACGTTTGTCCTTTGATTTTCTTCCTAGTTCCTCTCCATTTGAGACAAGGTATTGATGCAGGTGAATCAGAGTAAACCTCACTCACTTTGGATTTCATTCAATTGTAGCCTACAGGTTTCATTCTATAAGTAGCAGACCAGCTTTGGTGCAGCTTTAACATTTGCACCAACACAAGATAGTACGAAAAACAAAACAAACTCTCCAATGAACTAAAAACCTTTCAATTAGCTTCTCACTTCCACTCTTGCAACAAAAAAGCTATTAAATATACCTCCATCTCACTACATCCAAGAACCTTTTCACAATTCCAGTTATGGAATTATCTGTAAACATTTTCGGACAAGGTTCGAGTCAGCCAGATGAAAAGTTCCAAAAGTGGAAGGCAGAGAGTTTCCCTCCAGACCTACGTGTACCATGTGATACAGAGCCGAAGGAGATGATGGATGGGAAGCTCTACAAGTATGCAAAAGAAGACAGATTTGATGAGTTATTTTGTGAACTGAATTGTCTTTCATCGGAGAAACCATCATCCATCATCTACAGACATGTTGGCCCTTCTGGAAATTCATTGCTTCATGTTGCAGCAAGCCATGGAAGCAAATATATGACAGAGCTCCTGCTTCATCACTTTCCGTCTCTAATCACTACGAAAAACTTCCAGGACGATACTGCACTTCATTTAGCTGCCAGAGCTGGACAGCTGCAAACAGCTTCAATTCTCATCAACGAGGCAAAAAACCATGTACAAGCAAGTAACTTTGGTACCTTTATGGAGAAGAAGAATGATAGAGGAAACACCGCTCTACATGATGCAGTCATTAATCGTCACCACGATGTGGCCCATTTTCTGGTTTCCGAACACTTTGAACTTTCCTATATGGAAAAAAATGAACATAAGTCTCCCTTGTACCTTGAGAGTCGAGAATATCAGTGACAAGCCGAGCGATGAGAAGATGCTAGCTATTCTTCTGCATGCTATACCTGATGAAGTTGATTTGCTTAAAATGCTAGAAGGAAAGTCTCCTGTGCACGGCGCTGTCGAAGGAAGAAAGAAAATTAGTTAAATGATTTTTTTCCCTGCTCATTCATATGTTTGTCCCCTAAACATGTCAATGTTTCTTTCAATATTTTGACTGATCATTAATAAATCAATTTCAGATATATTGGCACAAATCGGGAAGGAAAAGCCAGACCTTTTGCGCCAGAAAGATGAAAAGAAGGCGAATGCAATTCACTGCGCAGCATCCATGGGTTGTTTTTTGGCAACTCAATTCCTGTTTGATGAATATCGTGCTGGTGCAATCCAACAAAACAGTGAAGGCAACTTGCCTATCCATGTCGCTAGCAAAAAAGGACATGTTGATGTAGTACATATATACATTTCGAAGTGGTCTGATCTAACAGAATTTCTCAACAGCAAAGGGCAGAACATTCTTCATGTTGCTGCAGAGAGTGGACAGCATCGATTGGTGAAGCATATCCTAGAAAGCGACAGACTCCAAGCGCTTGCAAATGAGAAGGACCTGGAAGGAAACACACCTTTGCATTTGGCTTCAAAGAACGGCCAATCTTGGGCAACATATGCTCTAGTGAGCAACAATATAGTTACGAGACAGATGGCCAACGGCGAAAACTTGACACCTTATGAGGTTGCAGAGAAGCAATCTAAAATAGTGCAAGCATATTACTCAGAAGAAACAATTCGGAATGGAAAGGTATGCTAAGTACTAAATATACAAAGAAACTAGTTATGTCGATCTGGATGAAAAACCAGCAATTATTCGACAGCTAAAACATCAAATCAGCACCCATTTAGCAAACTTTTTTTTCCTAAAATCATATTCATAAACATCTCTGCCAAAGCTTTGCCATGCTGGCAATTTAGTTCTTAAAAAGCGGCTTTCTAATTTTATTTCAACAATTTTTTGATAAGAACGAAAGATATCCCAAAGATTTTTCCATAATTTTGTTGGCAGTTTTTTATATCTCCCTCATTTTGTCCAGAACATTTTTTTCTGCATCTTCAGCAACTACATTATTTGACGTGTTGTAGGATCCTGGTGCGTCACTATCATCTTTCTCTTTTTCTAGATTAAAGCAGACACTTTGTGGAAGTTGAAAACGAAAGAATCTGAGTGAGATAAAATACCTGAGTGGGGTTTTGAAGAATTGAGTGGAACTAAAACAAAATTGGTGCTATGATATTTGAATTACCCTGAGCAAGACCGAAGGGGTGAAGGATAATTTTTGGGACTCCCTTGGCCGTTGTTAATTTTGCAGGTTGGATTTGTGTATGATGGTCAGATCATTAAATTCATTTATTTGATTTTAAAAATATTTATTGAAAAAGAACGTAACATATCTTCAGAAATATAGTTAAAATCTTTGAAGGATGAAAAGTTTATTGAATTTGTGTATTCTATATGTTTGATGACTTTTATTGTTTTGTCATCTATGATCAATTGTGACAAAAATATTAGAGAAAAAAATAGGGTTTTGATTATATTAAAGGATATTTTAATCAACAACTAAATTATATTAACTAGTATTAAGTTGAGGGTTAATTAGTGGGTGTTTTGGTAAAAATATTTTTTTTTTGGGTTTGATAAATTCAAAAATATGTTATTGGGTTTTTTGGATAGAAATTTCTTTTAGGAATTTTTCTAGTAATTATTGCAATATTTTAACTGTGGCTTGTCTTCATCTTGATTCAAACCCTGTTCTCTCTTGAAATCTTGAATTTAGTCCTTAAATTCTAAAAGTCTTAAAAATTTAACCTAACTATTCATGGTCGATTGCAAATATTTTAATTGAGCATCAACAATGAGTAAATGCACGCCTGAGATCAAGCTGAAAGGAAATCAAATGTTTGTGGATCTAGTTGTACGCACAAATTTTTTTAGGGCCCGAAAATAAACACAAAAATGTGATTAATATTTAATCTTAATGTTAAGATCAGTACAATCTCTAATTAATAAATTATTTTAAACAAATTGTGATTCTCTGTTTCTTTTTTTCATTTTTTAAACTATGTGGAAGTGAGTCGGTTATGAACACAATAAAGATTTGACGTGCTTCGTTCTGTTTGATTTGATGCTTTGATGGATACTTTGAAAATGTCTTTGATCAGAACCTCTCGAAGTGTTGAAGGTGAACTCTACAGGAGGGCTAGGCTTCATCCAACAGAGTTTCGGCATTTGAAGACACTAAACAGATGAAGAAGACTTACAAAACTTTTTCTTTTTTATTCTTCCCTCTCGGGAGGGTGAAACCCTGTATTTAGAGAGACTTGGAGGGGTAGATATGGAATTTGAACATATGACGAATGACTTTATTTGATTGACCAAAGGCACATGTCAAAAAATATTTTGACAACACATACTTTACGTTCTATCGTAATAAATCACATACTTTACGTTCCAATAAAACAAAAGATGTGGTCAATTCTATACTGAAAGTGCAAGAGGTTGCCAACATAAACAATAATTATCAGGAAATCAGATTAATGATGAGAAGAACCTTGTCCAAAAAAATAGTTTATCAAATCAAATACAAAGCTTGATATAAAAGAATCATTATTAAATAATAATAATAATAATAATAATAATAATAATAATCTGGTCACTCCATCTAGGATGCCAATGTGTTGAACGTTCATCACAATTTCTAGTTACAAGTTAGATTAAAATCACATAAAAGAAAAGAAAGATGCAGAAAGAATAAAGTACTGTGAAAAAGAACTACTCAGAGGGAAAGCTTTGATGAGAAAAAAGAGAGAAAACTAAAAGAAAGCTAAATAGTTTCTCTATGACAACTTCAATAACCTCTCTATCCCCCTCCGTGCAGGTCCCTTTCTTCTAATTATTGTACTCATGGTATCAATGCTGCAGCTGCATCAAAGAGAAGCTGGTCTCCTTTGCACATCCATGCATATTTTTTATAATTTCTTTGTCCATCCACACATAGTAGGAGATGATATATGATTCTTTTATTTGCCTGATAAGTGATCAATGCTGCTTCAGTTCATTGTTTTCTGATCCTTTTGCTGCTTTTAAAAGATCACTACCTTTCATTCATTACGAATGTACTGCTATATACAGAATTAAAAAGTTAATCAAGGCTAAAAAAAAAGACTTGCAATTCATTACTCCCTACACCTCATTTAAATATAGCAAACCAATACTTTTAATCTTTAAAACCATCACTATGATCATTAGGTTTATTTATTAGAATCTGATCGGACAAGAAAACTGATTAATGACATTGCGACAGAAACAAACTCTGGCCATCTGCTTATTAAACTTGTTCATTTTCAATGACTACATCATCATTATGTGTTTTAATTTTGTTTTTGTTTTTTTTTTTTTTGGGCTTACATCTGCTAATAAGGCTGAAGGCCAGTTACTATATATTAGATTGCAGATCACTTTAGTTTTGATGCCTTTGTGATTCACGTTCACTACAAAATTACAAGAAAAAGAACGTAAAATGGCTTAAAGTAAATTAGATTGCAGGTCACTTCAACATTGATGCCTTTGTCATTCGCATACTAAGAGATAGGTTGCATGCTTATGAGCATATTGGCATGCATCATCAACAATCTTTTGCCTCCTTTAAATTTGAAAAAACTGCATGCATGGCCGGCTTTATAATATACGTGGCCATAGGCAAAATAATATTTTAAAGACTCTTTTATAAAATAAATAAATATTAAACATTATTACAATTTTTTTTTCGAGATGTAAAATCTCTAATTAAATTTTTGTATTCAAGTTTACAAAGAAAAACTTTTTCAATTGATAATATAGTCAAATTACTTAATTTTCTTGTAACATAGTTGAACGTAAATAAGATTTTATTAATTTTAATTTTGAAAAAGTTTTTTTAGCCGAAGCTACAATAGCAGGAATAATTAATAGTATTACATATGTTATCCATGCATTTGGAAAAAAATTTACCTTTTTTATAAAATTTAGTATAGTAAGCGGTGTTTCCATTTCCATAGTTATAATTTCTTTTAAAACTTTTAATTCTGAAAATAAATCTAAACCATCAAATCGAAAGCATATCGTGCTTTAGAAAGTTTTCAAGATTTAAATAATTTTTTTTCAAAATATCATCATCAAGTGATTTTAATTTTTCTACACTATAAAGAAAACCAAAATTATCTTTATCTATTTTAAATTTTTCAAACTTATTTTGAAGAGAGGAAATCACATGATCAACTAAATATGCAAAATAATTAATTCTAAAAGATTCTTTAACATATAATTTCATGTCTTCATTTTCAATTTCATCAAATTATTTCTTTCTAGTAGACATTTTATTCAAATAATAAAATTAAAATATAATTATAAAAGAGTAAGAAACTTTGACACTCGATTATATTTGCTTGTCACACCTAATCAAGTAAACCTAGAAAGAATCACCCGAGAAAATAAAAAGAAATTTGAGAAAAAAATAAAATATTATATGATTTATATACATAATATTATTTGCATAGATTAAAAAATTACCTTCAAATTCTTCTGTCAAGCTAATTAGTAAATGTTTTATAAGAGATCCTTGATTGTTTGGAGAAAGAAAAGAATATAATAACAAAATTTAGAGATCTAAAAATTGTTTCACTCATAAATATTTTTCTGAAACTTTTTTATAAGTAAAAGTGTCTTACTAAAATAAAAATTGAAAGCTTTTATAAGTAGAAGGTAAGCTGGAAAAATATCTAGAAAAGGTAGAATTTTTAACATTGAAATAATAATATCTCCGAACAATAGGAGCCTTTTAATGCGGGAACTCTAGTACCTATGATCCGTTAATAAAGAGAAGAATGGTGTCTCATACTTAGGTGAAGGCTACACTTTTTGATTTATCTTATTTTTCACAAGTGCAAATTTAAGGTAAAATTTTAATTAGGCCCCCTTTCTATGGGTGCCCTAGGCATAGGCCTTAATGGCCTATGCCTTGAGCCAACACTGATCGCATGGATTCTAAATTCTAGCCTAAGATAAGTAGGAGCACCAATGCTTTTTTAGAATCGATTCGGGAATTTTCCCTCCTTTACTTTTGTCTCTCATATGCTAGTATCAGCTCCTTTTGCCATGGTGAAGTTTGTCCTTGCATTTTTTACTAGTCGGTAACTCTCACGTTGAGATAAGTTATTGATGCGGATGAATGATCGAGTAAATCTCACTTCACTTGGATTCCGTTCATTTGTAGGCTACAATTGACAATCTATAAATAGAAGATCATTGTTTGTCACTGCGGTAACATTTGCACCAACATAAAAATAGTACCAAATCAAGCTTAATTCCAGAAAAAAAAAAGAAAAAAGAAAATCCAATGCAAAAGTCTCCCAATGAAAACTTCTCAATAGCCCATCATCTAGTGCACTAAAACCCTTCTAAATAGCCTTTCACTACCCCTGTTGCTGCAACAAAGCTACTCAAGATACTTGTCATTGCATTACATTCAAGCATCTTTCCATAATTCGAGTTATGGTAGTATTGATAGACTTAGACGGACAAGGTATCGCCATCGCACATCTACCGGATGATGAGTCCGATAAGATGATGGATGATGAGTTGTACAAGTATGCGGCGGAAGACAAATACGATGAATTATCCGAAAAACGGGGCGTGTTTCATCGGAGAAACCATCATCCATCATATTAAAGCTGGTTAGCCCTTCGGAAATTCTCTCGCTTCATGTTGCGACAAGCCATAGAAGCCGAAAAGTGACGAAAAAGCTGGTTGAGGAATTTTCGCTTCTAATCATGAAGATTAACTTCCGGATGATACTACACTTCATGTTACTACAAGGGCTGGACGAAGGAAACTACTACAATTCTCATCAACAAGGTAAAAAGTCCTATAAGAGAAAGCATCGTCAAGATAGTCGACTATATGAAGATGAAAAATAACAAAGGAAACACTACTCTTCGCGAGACAGTCATTAGTTGCCATAAGGATGTGGCCAAATTTATGGTTTTGGAATGCTCGGAGGTTTCCTATATCCGAACATAAGTCTCCCTTGTATCTTGCAATCGAGAGTAGGAATGACCGGGAGAGCCATGTGTTGGAAAGCAAACTTAATTGTGGCTAAGTATGAATAAATAAGTATGAATGTAGTCATTACATTCATGAACCTAGTTATGTGTGATGTGTTATTAATATAATGTTTAGTATTCTTTGTGTAGTAATTAAGAGATGTCTAGTTATATATGTATGAGTATCTCTATATATAGTTATAAGTGATTTGATGTTATGTAGAGTGGAGTGAGTTAAGTTTCTAATAAACAAGAGTTCTTTTATCAAGTGTTCTTGTGTCTCCTCCCTCTCCAAGTAATTTCCTCCTTGTTATCTTTATGTGGTGTACGAAATCTATCCCCAACAAATTGGTATTAGAGCACGAGTCGAGTTCCTATCTCCAACAAATGGTAGAAATACACGATTGAAGAAGTTTTTTGCCGGGTTTGTTGAAAAGAGAACTCGTTGAGTTGGTATGAGTTAAGAGTTAGACTTCATAAGAAAAGTAAAGAATTGGTGAAGAGTTCTTTTAAAAGCAAAAGTGAGGTCAAGAAGAGAACCTCGCAAGATGAAATGGAGTATACTATGCCTATTGTTGTTTTAGCACCATTCAAAATGTTTTTGAAGGAATTACTTGAAAAATTGAATTTGCCTCCGGCAAGTTATTCATGTGAAAAGTTTGGGCATGATCATTCTCTAGAATTTATTGCTAAAGTTGAGTTTGAAGATAGATTGGGAAAACATACCCAATATGGATTCAAGGCATATACCAAGAAAGATGCCGAAAATGAAGCGACTTTGTGTGTGATAAGACATTTGAAGTGTGTCTATGACATTATCATAAAGGATGTTAATAAAAAAGAATTATATGAAACAAAGTGAAGCTACTGAAATTTTTATTGATAACAAATCCGTCATAACATTGGGAAAAAATCCAATTTTTTTTTATTTAAGCCGGATGCGGGATGTATATGAGGATTTGAGGAAAGATTATGATAATGTTGTCAAAGAAATGCAAGAACTGAAGAAGAAACTAGAAGAAATGAAATCTGGAGAATCGAGCACTAATGGAGTAAATTTTAGAGTTCCAAAAAGAGTTTTTTCTATTTGAGATTTTCCTCTTAGATGTGGACCAAGTAATTTTTGAAAAGTCATGACCGAGTGGATAATTAAGTTTACGGGGGATGTTGAAAAGTAAACTTAATAATGGCTAAGTATGAATAAATAAGTATGAATGTAGTCATTACATTCATGAACCCGATTATGTGTGATATGTCATCAATATAATGTTTAGTATTACGTGTGTAATAATTAAGGGATATCTAGTTATATGTGTATGAGTATCTCTATATATAGTTAAGTTTCTAATAAATAAAGTGTCTTTTATCAAGTGTTCTTGTGTCTCCTCCCTCTCCAAGTAATTTCCTTCTTGTTATCTTTGTGTGGTGTACGAAATCTATCCCCAACACCGTGTGCTCACTCTTCTTATGGAGGTTATGTCAAATGATGTTGATTACCTTAAAAAGCTAGAAGGAAAGTCTCCAACACACGCGACGATCGAAAGAAGAAAGCAAGTTAGTTAGATGATTTTTATTTATGCTCGTTCATATGTGGTAATATGTTACTCTTACTTTCATTATCTTGACTGATCATTTACTTATTTTTAATTAATTTCGGATGAAATGAAGCAAATTGCTAGTGAAATCCAAACCTTTTATGCGCTGAAGATGAAAAGGGAGGGAATGCACTTCACTATGCATCATCCATGGGTTGTGTTTGGGAGACTCCCGCTTGACAAATATTGTGATGATGCAAGCAAACAAAATAGAGAAGGCAACTTGCCTATCCATGTTGCAAGCAAAAAAGGCCATGCTAATGTAGTAAAGGAATACATTTCTAAGTACACTTATCGAACGGAATATCTCGGCAACAAAGGGCGGGACATCCTTCATGTTGCGGCAGAGATTGGAAATCCTCGATTGGTGAAGTATATCCTTGCAAATAACAAGCTCCAAGCACTTGTAAATACTAAGGATCAGGATGGAAGTACGCCTTTGCATTTGGCATCAAAACATGGCCGACCTATAACAACATATTTTCTAGTGCACAACGAACAAGTTATGAAAAAAGAAGCCAACGAGCACAAACTTAACACCATATGATGAGGCTGAGAAGCGAGTGGAAGCGAGAATACCCGGGAGAACCAATTCCTAAAGGAAAGGTATGTTAATTAACAAGTACGTTATGAACAAAGCTGTTGGAAAGTAAACTTAATTATGGCTAAGTATGAATGTAGTCATTACATTCATGAATCTAGTTATATGTGATGTGTCATTAATATAATGTTTAGTATTACGTGTGTCATAATTAAGGGATGTCTAGTTATATGTATATGAGTATCTCTATATATAGTTATAAGTGATTTGATGTTATGTAGAGTAGAGTGAGTTAAGTTTCTAATAAACAAAGTGTCTTTTATCAAGTGTTCTTGGGTCTCCTCCCTCTTCAAGTAATTTCCTTCTTGTTATCTTTGTGTGGTATCCGAAATCTATAGTAAATTTTAGAGTTCCAATAAGAGTTTTTGCTATTCGAGATTTTCCTCTTGGACGTGGACCAAGTAATTTTTGAAAAGTCATGACCGAGTGGATAATTAAGTTTACAAGGGGATGTTGGAAAGTAAACTTAATTATGGCTAAGTATGAATAAATAAGTATGAATGTAGTCATTACATTCATGAACCTAGTTACGTGTGATGTGTCATTAATATAATGTTTAGTATTACGTGTGTAATAATTAAGGGATGTCTAGTTATATATGTATGAGTATCTTTATATATAGTTATAAGTGATTTAATGTTATATAGAGTGGAGTGAGTTAAGTTTCTAATAAACAAAGTGTCTTTTATCAAGTGTTCTTGGGTCTCCTCCCTCTCCAAGTAATTTCCTTCTTGTTATCTTTGTGTGGTGTCTAAATCTATCCCCAACACAAACTAGCTTGGCGAACCTAGTGGATCAAATCAGTATTTATTTAGCTCAGCGTCTTTCTCCAAATTCTCTTTGTGTGCTTTTTGGTATAGGACAACCTAGCGGATCAAAAGAGTGACAAAAATGCAGGGAATCAAGAAGCAAAGGGGGGACTAACTTATATAGGAGTGGTATGTCTTCTTTTTTCTCTTCATCCTTCTTTCCTTTTCTTTTGTCTGAAAACAGGTCGCATATTTAGTCTTAAATACTTCACAATATTTAAACCAATTGAGCCTATAACAATTTAGATAAATTATCCTAGATACATGATGATTAATATTTCAAGCTTCTTCTTTAGCTCATCAAGTCCACTAGGTTATAGATTAGATTCCGCAAATGCTATTATTTGAATGCATAGAACTTCAGCTGCTAGATCCTGGAAACTTCAGAGTATTTTTAATAATATTTTTAATTTGATATTCGGTTTAAAATTTGTTTCTTTCTCTCATATTCAAAGAAAAAAGAACTATGTAGCTGACTTTCTAGCTAAGTCTAGTTTACAGAAGTCTAATGATTTTTTAAATTGGTTGTAACTTTTTTCTAATTTAGCATCCAGCTGGTTTATAACTACAATATATTCTTCGATTCATATAAAAATAAATAAATAAATAAAAAAAAATCCTGCATACTTAGTAGCTAAAAGAGAAAATTCTGAAGACATATATTTTCCTCATGAAGTAATTGATAGGTGGCTCATCTCGTTTATCTGTGGTTGTACAGATGATGACATTGTCGATCTTACATTTCTTTGGTGACCGTGAAAAATCCAGAGTAGAATATTTCGATATTCGGACCAGGCCTGTACCAAAAGAGGAAATTAAGAGCAGGATTGAGATTTTTCTTGTGCTAGCTGTACTTGTTGCTAGTGTAACATTTGCTGGTTTACTCCAGCTACCTAAAAGTGAAAGCCAGCTTGAAAGTCAAATTTCTGACATCACCACCTACAATATCCAAAAGCAGGGCGTATCAGAAGAAAATGAAGGCGATCTGAGGAATCTTTACATTTATTTTGACATGCTTGCCTTGAGTTGGGCGGTCATGGCGTCGATAATACTTTGTTGGTCTCATTTATATGGTGCCAAAGTAGCCGAACTTGCAGTTTGGGTAGAAGCAATATCGACAGGTGTTGCTGTCTACATGATGTGGTTAGCGTTTGTCTTCGCCGTCGCTATTAATACCAGCAAAAGTTTTGGCTTCTTCATCTACACCATTCTCGTCGGAGGTATGTTTTTTATTGTCCAAACCGCAGTTTTTCTTCAATTGCTTATTCCACCGTTTGCCAACCAAATCTTTGAAAAAATGATTTCAATTTACATCTATTTGGGAATCTTCATGTATTACTTGTTTCTTGACTTGGTTCTTGACTGGGTTAACGAACGCATTAAAAAGAAGAAGAAGGACAAGGAGCCACATAGCAACAACAATTTGTCTTCATCATGATCAATGCTCTTCGGATCAATGGATTGTGTGTGTTTAGTGATTGTAATAATTTGAGTTTGTTGATTGTAACAACTATTTGATATTTGTATCGTTGTAATTTTTTGTAATAATTTGAGTTGCATTTCTTTGGAATTGTACTGCTCTTGGTGAGTGTTTTATGTGATGAATAAATGAAAAGAAATGTTTTTTTTCCTAATATATGTAAGTTCAATTTTTTATGCAGAATAATAGGATTTATTAGCTAAAAAAATTTATTTGAGTGAAAAAAACTCTAATCATTTAAGCAAGTGATCTTGATTTTGAGTCTTTCTATTGAAAATTTTGATAATGGTCCAATGAATTCATACTGTTCATTGTGTTTGTATTTATAGGAGTTACAGAGTTCTAGTATGTTACAAAGTCTAGAGTTCATATTTACAAAAACTTTCATTCTAGCTAGAGTTGCTATGGTTTATATGTATACCTAGCTGAAGGATAAACACAAGATTGGTGTTTATCCTTAACATCCTCCCTTAAGCTGAGCAACAGATTACAGCTTCAGCTTGTCACGTAAGGGAAAGAATTGTCGCTTGGATAAGGGCTTGGTTAGGACATCTACGATTTCAAGCTCACTATGAGTTCCTTCTTCTTCACCTTGTCCTTGACGAAGTGAAAATCGATCTCCAAATGTTTAGATCGAGTATGAAAAACTAGATTTGTTGCAAGGTATGTGGTAGAAATGTTGTCACACCATATGACATGACAGGTGCTATAGTTACTACAACTCCTATTTCCTACAAGAGGGATTTAATCCAAGTAACTTCGGATGCACTGGTTACTAAGGCATGATACTTTGCATCCGTAAACAAGCGTGCAACTATTGTATGCTTCCTTGGGCACCAGGACAAAAGATTTCCTCCTAGATAAATGGCCAACCCTATAGTGCTCTTCCTGTCATCCATATCACCATCGCAATTGACATTTGTGTAGGCATTCAAGTGTAATGAAGTAGCCAGCCTGAATTGTAGCCCATGTATAGCACAAAATCCTCTTGACTGTAGACCAGTGATCCAATGTTGGAGCATACATGAACTGTGCTACTTTGTTGACTGCAAAAGATATGTCCGGTCTTGTTAAGGCAAGGTATTGAAGCCCCCCAACAATGCTACGGTATAATGTTGGGCATCAAATGGTGACCCTGAAATCATCAATTTTACAGAAGCATTGCCCGACATGGAAATGGAGCTGGCCTCATGCAACTTTGCCCTGCACAAGATGTCCCGAATATACTTGGATTGAGTGAGGATCAGTCCTCCCTTGCTCTACTGTGCCTTAATGCCTAGGAAGTAGGCGAGTTTGCCTAGATCTTTGATGGCAAATTGTTGTTGGAGCTATGTCTTGAGATATTGGATGAGGCAGTCTTTGTTTCCAGTTACAAGAATATCATCCACATAAATAAGACAATAGATGAAGTCAATACCTCCTGTGTAAATGAATAGGGAAGTGTCTGATTGGGATCTCTTAAACCCAATTTGACAAGTTCATTTGATAGACACTCCTACCATGCTTTTGGGGCTTGCTTGATTCCATACAATGATTTTTTGAGAGCACAAATATGGTCTAGAAAATTAGAATCAACATACCCCTGTTGTCGTTCCATAAAGACAAAGTGCCATGTAGGAATGCATTGGAGACATCTAATTGCTGCATTGTCCACCCATTTCTTACTGTCAAGGACAGTACCAACCTCACCATTGTTGGTTTGATAACTAGGTTGAGGGTATCAGTGTAATCGATGCGTAGGTGTTGTTGGAAGCCTTTGGCAACCAGGCGTATTTTAAACCGATGTCCCATCCTTCAACCTCTTAATTCGATACACCCACTTATTTCCCACAACATTGAAAGCTTAGTTACGTGGAACCAAGACCCAGGTACCATTTGATTGTAAAGCAGTCATCTCTGCATCCATAGCCTTGCACCATTCTAGGTATTTGTGGGCAGTAGAGTAGGTGGATGGTTCCGTGTTGGCATGGATGTGATAGGTTTTGGGTTTGTTGTGACTAGTTTATGAAAGGATAAACACCACTCTTGTGTTTATCCTTCACCTATATATATATATATAAACCATAACAACTCTAGCTAGAGTGAAAGTCTCTATAAATATGAACTCTAGACTTTGTAACATACTAGAACTCTGTAACTCCTATAAATATAAACCAAATGAACAGTACAAATTCATTGAACCATTATCAATCTTTCATGGTACCAGAGCATTAAGAGGTTTAAAAACCCAGCCATAAAGACAAATCCAGTCACAAAGTCCCTTCTTCTCCATCACCGTCCTCTTCACCCATTTTCGATTTTGCTACTACCCAACCACTAGTACCTCACCAAGTCCAGCAACCTGCACCTACAAACACAAGAGAGGTGTTTATCCTTATCGTCTATATGTAGAAAACTCCTTAGCTATCTATGCCTGTCTTGTATGTCTAATCAAATAACGAGAGATAAATTTTGCCATTTGAGCTTCAGATATCCTAGGATCAAATATATATATATGATATATTATGTTAATATTCCATGCCAAAATTTGATAACCTATACCATTTTTAAATAAATATTTTGTCAGCATACAAAAATTATAACTTATTAATTCAATGATAAATTAGAATTTAATTAACAAGGAAATTTAAGGGTCTTTTTATCAAGAATGATGAATTGAAGAAAGTGGAAGGGGGAGTGGAAAAAGATAGATAACTTACCATTCGTCTAGTTGTTTGGCTAACAAGAAACAAAAGGGATACGAATTAATCTATCCAAATTGAAAGATTTGAAAATTACAAATAAATAGGAGGATACCAGTCGATCCGTCCAAATTTTAAGGATTAAAAATTACAAGTGAAGAAGGATTTGAATGATCTCTCCAGTCCCTATTTGGACAATTATTCTTTTTATTAAACGAAGGATGCACTAAACTCCTTCTCCTCAATCTTATGCCTTTTATTAATCATTCCTCCACTCCCTCGGTTTAAGAGAATTTTCCAATGGTCATTTGTCATAGAATTTTAAAACAAAAATCCAATTGCCGTAGTGAATCTTTATACAACTGTTATGCTATGAAAATGGGCAGGAAATTCCATTGTAAATAACTGCTTTGAGAGACACGTAAATCAGCTAACAAGTTTTTATTAACAGCATAAAGGTTTTTAAATTTTTATTGAATAGCCAAAATCGTGTGGGTAGATTGATGGCTGAGATTGAGTTGAGAATAAAAAAAATATTTGTAAATTACTTTCTGAGTTGGTCTCAGCAAATCAGATTATAGCATTCGACTAGAAAAAAGTAAAAGGGCGAAAGGACATTGGATTTGAGGGAAAAAGGTTCTTTCGCATTGTTAACAATTTTTGTATAGTTAATTTTGGGGTTAATATTCTTTTGCTAGTTTCAATTTTATAAATCATGTCTCCAAATTATGTAGGTTAGGACTGACTAATAATATATATATTGTTAGTTTCAATGAATGAAAACAGAGGAGATTTGAATTTAGAGAGCGTTGTAGAGAAAGAGAACGTTGCAAAGAAAGAAATTTGAACAAGGCAGTAGCAAAGAGAAAATCACATTTATTAATCAACAGCCCAAACATTCAAATAGCTAAGAAACTGAACTACAAGTAGCTCATGGGCCGAAAATAAAGCCACTAGAGCCACGATCCAAAACAAGTTAAAAAAACATCCTAAAGATTAGGACAACCCACTAAGTACAACTTAAAATAAATAACTGTAGCAATAAAAAGTCACATGCAGTCCTAGAGCAAATTTTAGCACCCCTCCTTGCTTTAGGAACTCCAAATCCCAATCTTTTGCCTTAGAAGCTCAAACTTGCTCACTGGAAGTAGTTTTGTAAACAAATTTGCCAGCTGATCTTCAGATTTTTTGTAGACCATTTTTACTTCTCCATTTTTCTGCACCTCCCTCAAGAAGTAAAGCTTAATGTTGAAGTGTTTAGTCTTCCCATGAAATACCGAATTGTGAGAGATTCCAATTGCTGCTTGATTGTCAACAAAAATCTCTATTTCATCCTTTTGCTCCATATGTAGATCACACAAAAGTTCTTTCAACCATAAAGCTTGATTGACTGCTGCAGTTGCTGCGATGAACTCTACTTCCGCAGTGGATTGTGCTACGATTTCATGTTTCTTGAAGCACACGAGAAAATCCTTGAACCTAAGCTAAAACAATATCCTGAAGTACTCTTCATGTCTTCAATGGATCTAGCCCAGTCATCTTGAAGTTTTGACACTTCTCAAACTTGACACCATAATCAATAGTACCTTTGATATACCTTAATATTCTTTTTGTTGCTCTTAAGTGCATTTCACTAGCACAGTGCATAAATTGAGATAAGAGACTTACTGCAAATAGAATGTCTGGCCATGTCTGGCCTTATTGCAGTGAGATACATTAGGCATCCAATCAAGCTTCTATAATAACTTCATCAACTTTTTCAGCGCCATCTTCTTTGCTCAGCTTCTCTTTTTGATTCATTACTGTGCTTATTGTTTTGCACTCCTTCATCTGAAATTTCTTCAGTATTTCCTTTGCATACTTCTTTTGGCAGATGAACACTTCATTTTTGCTTTATTTGATTTCAATTCCAAGAAAATAAGTCATGAACCAAGATCTGTCATTTTAAAAACTTGCATCATTTCTTGTTTGAACTCTTCAACCAGCCCTGTATCACTTCTAGTTACCAAAAGATCATCAACATAAAGGGACACTATAAGAAAGTCATTGCCCTCACATAAAGAATGGTTTTATATAAGCTTTTCACAAAGCCAAGGCTCAACAAATGTTCATCTATCCTGCTGTACCAGGCTCTTGGCACTTGTTTTAAGCCATAGAGAGCCTTTTTGAACAGGTAGACTTTATCTTCTTCACCTTACTTCACAAATCCCTTTGGCTGCTCCACATATATTTCTTCCTATAATACACCATATAGAAAAGCTAATTTGACATCTAATTGGAACACTTTCCACCCTTTTTGTGTTGCTATTACTAGTAGCAATTTGATTGTGTCTAATCTAGCAACATGAGCAAAAGTGTCAGAATAATCAACACCAAATATTTATGCATACCCTTTAATAACAAGTCTGGCCTTGAATTTGTTGATGGAGCTATCTACATTAAGCTTTGTTCTGAACACCCATTTCACTCTAATGACTTTTCTATCTTGAGGCCTGTCAACCAACTCCCAGGTTTTATTTTTCTGCATCATTGACATCTCCTCCTCCATTGCTTTCTTCCATTTCAGGTCTTTAAGTGCTTCTTCATGGCTTGTAGGTTCACAGATTGCCACATTACATCTCTGATAGATGTCTGAAAGTAGCCTTGTACCTTGATTGGAGGATTA